AGAAGGGAAAAAAAAAATGAAGAAACAAGTGGTGATACTGCAGGTTCTGTGTAAGGCCCCTAATAATAGATCGTCTCTTAGTAAGCTTTGACTATGTATTTTGGGGGCGAGAGGACTCAGTTGTAGGTGGGGGAGAGGGAGAGGTTCCTGTGTGAGTGACTTGTGGTGAGCAGGGGAGGAGGTGCCAAGGAGCAGTGGTGGCCTGAAGGAAGACACTGAGGATGCACAGCAGTAACTGGAGATTCCTGCTAACAGGAATTGCGAAAGAGGAAACAAGATCAAACGCGTATTTTGTTTATTAATAGTGCTCCAAGGTGTTCAAGATGCTTCCACTTCATACGAGGCTACTGCCTCAGAGGGAACAAACTGAGAGGCTGTTGGGGGAATCCGATCTGCATGCCAGGAGATTGGGAGCAAAATGGGGCGTTGGGTGTGCGGTGTTGGGAGCCTGGGGTGCCTCCCAGGATGAGACAACCATCAGGCAGGTCCTGGGGAACTCAGGGCAGCAGCCGTGTCGCCTCCGGCTGGGGAAGGCACCCTGGACACCGGGATGCCTTCCAGAGCTGGCCGCTTTGGGGAAGAGCTGTGTGCCAGACTATGTGACGAAGAGCGCGCTCAGAGAGTGAGCTCCGAGCAGAGCTCGGCAGGAGCTGGGCTCTCCTCTGGAAAGCATAAGCAGGGCAAGCGGGGACGTTGGTCAGCAAGGACATTATCGCTGGAGACCTGGTTAGGAATGGGCAGGGGCTGAGCCATGAGGAGCAGCTGTGGGAGCTGTCGAGTGGCGCAACTGGTGGCATCCGAGGGCTGAAAGCAGAAATGTTTCACAAGGTCGTGTCGCGTGTCCCTAATCCCTAGTAGGAGAGGAAGATGTTCCCGGCGGAGATGAAGATGGAAGGGGTAGATGAGCTTTGGTAGAGAGCCTGTCACCCTGGCTGGATTCATTTTGCAACGGGGCCTGGTAGGAGGCCACCAGAGACTCCTATCTAGAGGCGGATAAGAGATAAAGGAACACAGGGAGATGGCTGGAAATCCTCATTAACTGGGATACTGGCACATCTGCGGTTGCTGTTCTGAAACCTGAGCGGAGAGGCGAGGCTGTTGTACGTGAGCCCCAGGGCTGAAGTGCAGCCCGGCGCCGTGGGCGCTTGTGATGGCTCCCCAGCGCCGGGTACGCCTGGCTCTCCGTGGGCTCGTGTTTCCACCCGGCCGCGCTGCAGAGCCTTTGCCAGGTGCGTTGGTGTTGCTCCCATCCTGGACCCGGGAAGTCAACACCCCGGGAAGCTCCGTGTGTCGCCTGGGGCGACTGTGAGCTACCGGTGGCCAAACACCAGGCGTGCGGGCGCTGCTCCCACCTCTAGAGCAGCGGTCAGTGATTTTCAGCGGTTCCTGCTTGCAAGGCAGCTGTTCCCAGCTGTCGACCCCTGCTTGGACAGGCTTTCTTGGCTTTCCTAGGTGCACTTTGGGTATTGCAGGCTCGTCCTTCAATAGAGACTTGGCACAGAACGGCTACAAAGTTCTCACTGACATCAACAGGGCTTCTTGCCCTAACTTAGAACAGAACCGAGCCGTGTACGCACAGCTGGTACCTACAGAATGAGAAATTACTCAAGGGGTGACATCCTCCTTAGACTGCTCCGCACCTCGCGAGGCGGCCCCCTTCTCGCTGCGGAAATACTGCTGGGAACTCCTCTTGGAATACTGAGGCACTTGGCTTTTACCAGTAATGATAAATGTGATAAATCTTCGTGCTCGCTGATGGAGAGACACGTGGCTTCGCTAAGGAAAATAAATCGGAAGCATTTGATGTAAATTCGGGCGGGTGGAGTTAGGTCTCAGTAATTTGGTTTGGGTTTAAAACAAACCAGCCACAAGATAAGGACTGTGTAAACTAGTGGTCTGCTGACTGCTGCATAGGTGCCTCTCTGATGCCTACAAATGTGATAGAAATTAAGAGGTACCCGAGGCCCTAGGAAATGACTCCCTGCACGGAGGGAGTCGCGCTGAAAACGGTGGTTATCCGTGAGGAGCAGGATCCCGTTGGCTCTGTGGGTCAGCCCGGGGTTCCTGCAGACTGTCCTCACCTTTATGGGCAAAATCACTGAAGGCTGGCCTAGGGCTGGTTTCCGTGCCCAGGATAGCTCTGGAAAGGATCTACCAGTATTACCCATATTTCCAACCAGGGTTAACGTTGTCTGAACATTTTCCACAGCAGAGCCAAAGAAGAATTAATTCCAAAGTGTGCTAAACCTGCAGGAATTGTTCACCCAGAGTGAAACAGCCTTGTTTCTGTGACTCGGCTATGAAACCCTTTAAAGGCGGGCAGCTGTCTCTTAAAAGAGCGCTGCCAGACGCTGAAGTGCTTCAAATGGGGGATGTTGCACCCGGGACGGGCACCTTCTGTGCTCCTCTGGTTTTGGTTTCGAGCCCAGCCTGTGCACCTGAACCGCGAGCTGGGCTTTCCGGTGCGGTTACGGCCAGCGCTGCTGGGCTGGGTCGGGGGCAGCGGGGCCGTCCCGCCCCGGCCGGCACCGGCACCGGCACCGGCACCGGCACCGGCGCCGCTCCCGCTCGGGGCCGGGCTCGGCGCCTCCGTTCCGCGGCCGCCGGCGCCGCGCGGGC